GAGTCAAAGAGGACACCAATGTTTTTGGCCTCATGGGTAGAATGGAAGATGCTGAACTGCAAAGAAGCCGAGGAGGAGGCTGGGTGGAAATTCTCTTCCTACTGACCAGGTCTGAGGACACCTAAGGGGGCAGTGGGCAGGGCTTTGTCCCACTGTGGGCTCCCCTCTCATTCCTTTGTCCCTTGAGCAGTGGGGGTTTCATGAGCACAGGCTTCCAGCTGCCCAATCCATCACTAACCGTCCCTTCCCGCTGCTCCCCTCTTCCCAACAACCCTTTCTATTGAATGCTCACCATGTGCTTCATAAATGCATTATAAGCCATCTCTTGTTTCTCTTTACCACCCTAAGAAATTGGGATTTCAGAGTCTAGGTAACTAGAGGTAACTAGCCCAGGGTCATAGACCTAGCAATTGGCAAGGCCAGGATTTAAACCCAGGCCTTTCTGGTTCCAAAGCCCGCACTAACCAGGATGCCACACAATCTCCAACCTGGAAGTGGCCCTAGAAATACTGTTTCCTCTTGAACAAACTTCTAATAAGATTCACCCCAGACTCTGTCCTCTCAGAGGGGACATTCCAGACGCTCCCCCAGACTCCTCTGGTCTTCCTCTCTCAGGAAGAATGTTAACCAGGATCCCCCCACCATGACGTTTTTTCTCTCCCAACTCCCGCCAGACCCTGAGACCCCCTCACTGCCTCTTCCTGTATGAGGGGAAAAGAGCTTGTCCAGAGCTTGGGAAGGGTTTCTGGCAATGCGATGAACTGCCTCCGGTCCAGGCCCCTGCCCTCAGAAAACAGAGACAGCCACAGAAGCAGATGCAGCCCATATGGCCGCACTTTGACCTCTGGCCAGTTCCCTAGCAGGTCTTATCTCCTAACTCATCCTGGGCGAGCACAGATGCCAAGGGGCTTGGGTTTCTGATGTGAGCAGAAACATTCTGAATCAAAAGCATTCTCTTGTGTTTTCTCTCTGCATCCTAATAGTGCTCTGAAAGGCAGCTTTGTGGGGACAGGGAAATAAAGGCTCAGAGAGTTTCTGTGACTCCTCTCAGTCACCCAACTGGCTGGTCACATAATTGTTCTTAAACCCAAGTGTCCTGTGTTGTCCCTCGCTCGCTGCAAAGAACCCCCGGGCTTCAGGCTGTCCACATTTGCTAGAGAAAAACAAGGAACTGTGGGCAGCTATGAGTTTTCCACAGCCAAGTCTCCACAACTGTCCTCAGCCAAGAGGGAGAGGTCTGTTTTGCTCTCCTGCAGGTAATTGCCTGTAGAACTCTTCCTGCTGGCTGTCCTGTGAGGATTTGCCTGCAAGGTACCATCTCCTGTCAGTTACCTGTCAAAGCTCCTGCCTCCTTCCCCAGGCTATTTTTCTGTGCAACCTGCCACTTCTCCTGACCAGGAAAAGTATCTGCTGGGCCAAGCGCCTTCTCCCCCTCTTCCCACTGAGGGCACACAGGACCTGCTTGATCAGACTTGCGGAAACCTGAGGAGCAAGTGAATTCAGCTGGCATCTACAGCGGACGCAGAGACTCAGACAGCCAATTCAGATGATGTCCTGGGCGGAGGGGGGCCATGGAAGAGGCAGGAGACATGTCCTGAGATGAGACCCAGCTGGAGGCGGCTTTCAGAACCATCTGCAAAGTCTGACTCGAGCTGTGCCACAAAGCCTGGCTGCCTGTGTGCTGCTGTGCCAGTCAAAACCTCCCAGTTGTGGTCCCAGTTTTCAGTTCCTGTTTCCTACAGCAAGTATCATAAAGGCCCCCGCTTGCCCCTTACATTTGTTAGTTGCAATAGGAACAGTCCTCCCTGCCACCACCGCCCTCCGCAAGCTTCTTCTTAGCAGGAGAAATTGGGCATTTTTTCCCTACAAAACCCGAGTTCAGGAGTCAGCAGTTTTCTGATGAAATCTTGGCTTTGCCACCTAACCAGCTGTGAGTGCAGAACAAGTCACGACAATTCTTTAAGCTTTGGCCCCTTTTCTGCAGAACAGGATCATACTGCCCGTCTCCACAGAACTGCAGAGGGAGAGTGCAAGGGTAAAGCCTGGAGGCTTAGCACAGGGCCCGGCACACAGTCGGTGCTCATTAACCAGCAGCTATCATTCTCCACATCACCAGAACGACAGAAGAGGCAGGCGGAGCTGCCTCCTTAGCACCAGGGCTGATTCCAAGTGATGGAATCATTCTCCCCTCCCGTGAAGGGTACCTGCCGCTCCTGCGTGCTCACCCTCTTGAGGGAGCCTTGCTACATAAACACGAGGCTCTGCCTATAAAATCAGGGGAACAAAAATGAAACCCTGCACAATACTGCCCTCAGCAACCTGTTCCATTTTTTTCACCAGTGCTCAAGACCTTTGTGGTGTTTCAATGACCGGGGGGGGGGGGGGGGGGGGGCACTGGCTGCCAACCTTCTTGTTCCCCTTTGGGCAGGAGAGCTGAGCTCCCCCACCCCTCCTCTCTCCCATTGTCAAAGACCACCCAGTGAAACTTGCTGGCAAGCTGCCACAGTCCAGACAAGCGAAAGCTGGGCCTCACCACCACCCAGCCTCCACCATCTCTGCAACACAAGGCTACAGAATGAAAAGCACCTGACCATGGGGCTTTCACCTGGAGCTGATGCGGCCTTCACGATGGCAGACCACCAGTGGTGTCAAGGAAGGGTTGCAGGTGATTGCTGGGAAGGCCTGTACATTGGAAGTCATTAGAATCTAACTCTCGGCTATAACACTGTATATTTTTATGTAACTTGTTCACTACAAAACATCAATTCATAATGACAGAGGTAAACAGCCATGAATTTCCACTGCTTCATGTGGTCTCCCTGTGCTGACTGGATTGTGAAATCCCCCTCACGTGGACACAGGTACATAAAAAGGAAGAGCTATGGTAACACCACTGTGGGATGATAGTCATTAGAGAGCAGAAAGAGAGTCAAGTGCCGGGGATGATCTGTGAAATAATTAAGAGCAGCCTCTGCTTTCATAGAAAAGTAATAAAGCTAGAAACCCCCAATTTTCCTCTCCAATTAACTGGGACCCATACATAATAAACCTGCTGAGATTGTAATGTTAGGTAAACTCAGACTAGTAAAGGCACCTGGCTGAGACTACTCTGGAAAAATACTGGCAGGCCTGGGGAAGGTTGGGGAGGGCTCTATTCCAGAGTTCAACTCCAGCCCCGCCTGGGAGGTGGTGGTGGGGGGGCTGGAGTTGAACTCTGGAATAGAGCCCTCCCCACCTCCAAGGTCAGCCAGCTCCAGAGGGGCCCTCTTCCTCTTACCTGTAGCTCTCATCCTGTGTGACAGTTACCTCTCAGCAGCCAAGGAGGTTCCTGGGCAACTGGAGAGCCCAACGACTTTTACTTGTCCCTAAAATAAATGACCCCTCACCAGCAACTCTGGAAATGATTTCAGAGTTAGCAAACCTGGTGCACACAGTAGAACAAAGGGCAAATGAAACTGAGAGGTAAAAAACTGAATTCAGGATGTTGTTTCTAAAATTCTCAGCTAAAATCTGACATGGGTGAGAAAGAAAAACCAAAATCACATGTTTCTCCTCCCACTGCCCCCAAAGCCATTCAGTAACTGGTTTCAGAATCCTAAGACTCAGATTTCTGAGATTCTGTACTCACTGCAGAACTTCCAGTTTTTCACTTTTCTAAAATTAACAAAACTACTCTGAACTTGCAATCTCCTGTCTCAAGTACACTTGAGCCTATCATCCGCTGAAGAAAAGTACATTTTCAGGGAGAAAATAAAGAACACATATAGGCAGAAGTCAAAGAACAGTTCAGTCCTACTAGTCCCATCTCTGTCTTTAAGACTTAGTCTGAGATACTGACTCTCCTCCCTCAAGAAGCCTTTATTTTTTTTTAAAGATCTTACTTATTTATTCACGAGAGACATAAAGACATAGGCATAGGGAGAACCAGGCTCCATGCAAGGAACCCAATGTGGGACTCGATTCCAGACCCCAGGATAATGCCCTGAGCCAAAGGCAGACGCTCAACCACTGAGCCACCCAGGCTTCCCAAGAAGCCTTCCTTAATTGACCCCGTCCAAGTACTTTAACACTACAGTTTGTATTGCAGTGTTCCCTTTAGTAATGGAATTCTGGATGGTGTAGGCTCTGGTATTGATCCCAGGCACACAGCAAGTACCCAATAAAAGCTTGTTGAAAGGATGAAGTCTCCAGCCTACACATACATCATCACCCTCGTCTTGTCCAATGCTGTCCAAACTCATTTTAGAGAAGAACAAACATTCCTTTGCCATACTTTTTGCTGCTCAGCTCCTTTTGAGTTATTATTATTATTTTTTTAATTCAATCCTACTTATCCTGGCCATATTATGTACTTTCCTGTTTCTTACCAGGAGAACTAGTTGAGACTTTCCTCAACATTTTCTCTGGCAACCAAATGAAGTTGACTGTGTATTATTGGCTCTGATCTTTCTCCTATGATTTCCTCTGACTGCCCAATAATCCTGTCACAAACATCAAAGGCCTTCTTTGAAGATAAGGCCAAATTCACCATTAGGAAAAAGAGAAATTATTTTCTAACTTTATTTCAAAAGTTGGGATGACACAGAATCCCTCTGGGTTTTGTGAAATAAACACTGCCCAGTAATGCAGATCACAAGATATTCGCTCTAATACCATTGACAGAGACATAAACACAGGGCTTTCCTCACCCAAACCCAAGCCGGACTCTTCTACACAGCCTCAGACTCCAAATCCCATAGTAAATGGTTTGTATCCAACATGTTGAATGGATTTGCCTCAAGGAAAGGAGGGTTCACACAGTCACAGAGGTTATCATAGGTTCTGACTAAAAGAGTGTCTGAACCAATCTGTTTGATCCAGATTCCACTCAGTGTCAGACTTTTCCAGTGCTAAAGGATGAGAAACACTGTATCCTCAAGAGGACAAAACATGGAAAAAAAATTTAAAAAGACCGATCCAATAGGCCAGAGAGGTATTAGATTGTGGGCGGAAGAGCTCACCTGCTTCTACTTCATTGCTGCTACCCTCAGATGGTGTGACTGTTGACAAGACTTCATGGGTCATGAGTTCCAGAAGTTTGTGCTGAGACTGGGGAAAAAGAGAAGTGTCTTATCTTTTGAACAACAAAATAAACAGTTCTGAAGTACTGGCTTTTTATAAGGTGCCTTGCTATAAACCATAGTAATTCCTTATTAATCCATTTTATAAATAAGAAAACAGAAAAAGCAGTTTTTCTAAGATCCTAGGCTTCCTTAAATCTCTAGTTACCTGGTCCCTCGTAGAAATGAGAGGAACCATGAATTAAGGACAATGATTACACTGAAGCCTAATCTTACAAAACCATTACCTTTGCAACCAGCAGCCCATTTTCATCAATATTCATCATATATCTCTCAAGAACATATTATTAGCAGGACTCATACAAAGTAAGGTGGGCTTATAGGAAAGGGGTTTAGGGTGCTAAGGCAGCAAGCAAGGAATGAACCCAGCATATAATCAAGGGTTAGCTACTAGCTAGATTTGGGCTGGAGCAGAAGGCTCCTGCTAAGGTAATATTATCATAAGGTGGGACAGAGCCACATGTGAGAGAGCTAAAAATTTGGGTTGTAAAGTTAAACTGTTTTTAAGCTGGGTGCTGAGTTGTTTATGGGACAGATGGAGGATGGGCAGTGTGGTGATAGGTAGCCAGTGGGGAGTCTAGCCATGTGTCAGCAGCAATTGTCAAGGGCATGAAGAAGCACGGTAGTAGCAGGCATGGAAAAGATGGTATAGATGGAAGAATAATAAAAGGTAAGGGCAGGAACGACAAGGCAAGCTTCAAAAGGGAAGCTAACACAATGGCAGTGCAGCCATGACAATCAATGAGTTAGTTCGGTGGTTTGAGTCTGTGTGAATGGAGTCCTCGGAAAAGCCAGGGCTTCCACCCAAATTCCCTACTCCTCATCTCAGTGCCACTTGAGATGGATCCTCTAAACCTTATTTCCTGCCTTCCATCTCCCCTTCTATACCCATACCAACCCTGAGGCCTCCAAAGAGGCAAAAGCCCTATTTAGGGAGGCTTTTTGTAAATACAGATACCTAAATTAAAAACACCCACTTCCATTCCACTCTCTCCCCGCCCACTGCCTAGGTCCCAAGTATTTGATTCGGCCTCATAAATGATAAAAATATTATACGTGAAGGCCTCATGTGGGAGCACTCCTAGGATTTAGGTGAAGTAGATTGGACACATCTGTTCTCTGTAAGTCTTTGGACAAAAATCTCTAGATGCTTCACTGTGGACTACAAAAATGTATATACTTTTATCACAACTATGAAAAGTATGCACACAGATGAACAAAATCAAGTTGTGTTATAGTATGGGAAAATGGGTCATTTAAAATTTTTTTTAAAATTATTAATAGATGCTTGTGCAATAAATAAAAATGAGGGGGAAAGGGTTTAGTTTGGGGAACCATCCTTTAACTAAGCTTATTCCCTCAGGGGCAAGAAAGATCCCAGTCTAGGGTCTGATGTACTAGAAATATTTAATAAATTGAAGTATAGAGATGACAAGAAATTCTAAATGATTTTTTAAAAATGTAGCAAATCACTATCTTTCCTCTGCCTCCCCAATTTCTACTCCCATCCCCTTTCTCTTATTTCCCCAGAAAGCAGACTCTAAATATATAATATCTTTTGGTGCCAGTTTAATACTTCCTTACTCAATCAGAAAGCAGACTCTAAATATATAATATCTTTTGGTGCCAGTTTAATACTTCCTTACTCAATCAGAAAGTACTGGATATCAATTAACTGATGCATTTGGGTCTTCAGCTTCTTCCCAGTTGTTTTGAAAGACAGAAAACTCCTTAATCATTAACCCCATCAGTGACTTCACTGAAGTCTGAACCCAGACCCTCTAGGGTCTTGTGGAATACTGTGACGACCAGACTCACTTGCTCTTCTTGCTTAAGCCCTGGAGGTCTCTGGAGAAGTCAATGGAATTATTTAATGAGCAAAATCCCCTACTCCTTCTTGGGGAATGGAAATCACAGATAAGTTGCTGAAGAGAGCTGAGAGCCCAAACATTTGAAAGAGCACTTCAAAGAAAGGAATATCTCCAAATCCATTTGGAGGATGGAAAGGAACACCCCCTTATCACAAGTTGGCCAACCAATACACAGCTAAGCAGGGTCTTCCATCCCCCACCCCTATCTGTGGTCAAGGAACCAACCATCGTGGCCTCTGCCTTGCCAGAGTAAAGCCAATGTCTGTCTGTGTCTTGGGCAATTTCTCCTGAGGAAATGTCTCTTGTAATGTTACTCCTCTTAGATCTCTTGAAAGAGGATGAAAGGGCCAATGTCTGACATCTCAATCCTCAGATTTCATAGGAATAGACAGCCTCCAGTCTCCCAAAGGGCCAAACTGAGAAATAAACGGGGGTGGGGGTGGGGGGTGGGCACAGTCAGCAAAGTGGTAGAATGAGGCAGCTCTTCTTTCATTTTTTACCTCTTCCATAAACTCACTCTAAAACTCACCTGGCAGGAAAATCATAACTCCACTGCTGTTTCCACCCTGCCTCCATCCCACTGACCCCAAGGTGCTTCAAGATTACCATGGGAACCTTCTGGGTTTCAATTATGAGACCATTAAAAAGTGCCAATTATAAGACCTCAGAAACGTTCCTGGGAAAGCTGTTACACACCTCAAAACGGCCAAGCTCTTGCCTCAGATTCACTTAAGTTCAGAAAATAGGTCACCCAGATGGATGGGTGCCCCAGCCCCCACCTGAGTCCAACAAGACTGTGTTATAATATTGTCCATGCTGACCTGGAGGAAATGGAGATTGATTTATTGGCTGTAATCAGAGGAGTGAAAAAAAAAAACATCACAGAGCTGAGCTGTGTGGGGCCCAGTTGTGGAAGAAATCAAAAACACTTGTGCACTGAAAAATTTTGAAAATTACATTTATTCCGTGTCCAATGTTTGCAAAGTTCTGAACAAAGCACTAGGTGACAAATGTGAGCCGGGTACAGGGAATTTGGGGGTGGCACAAGGGCCTGAAACCAAAGCACACTTTTCACTCAGTCCACTCAAAGGAACTCTGAATCAAAAACTTCCTCGAGCCCATTTGAACTGGCTAGGAAGGGATGGGGGAGCTGCAGTACATCCCACCACACCCATAAAGTGCTTGTTTAGGATTACCCACGTGTGGTTTGGGTATTCTTAGCTCTCCTGCCACATCTCTGGAAGAACACAACCACCTTTCAAGTAACCCAGCCACCGCCATTGCCACCGCCATCCCCCAAACAAAACTAAACAAATCCCCAGCGCTCCTCCTTAAGTCCTCCAGGTCCGATGCCCCGTGCCCCTCGAAATCCTCCCATCATCTGGAAGAGTCAACATGTGGCACCCTGAAAGCCAAGCGAGGCCTTCAACAATCCAGCAGGAGATCCCGCCTGGGCTCCTGGCCCCTCCCTACCGGCCCTTCCCACCTGTTCCAGAGGTTCACTTCCCCACCTCAGTTACACAAACAAATCTAAGAGCACAACTCCAGGATGCTGCGCGCGCGAACCCCCCCCCCCACACACACGCTCTCCCGCCGCTCCCCTAGCCCCACTGACCCCTCTGGACACCCCGCTCTCGGCCTCGCCCCTTGCACACACTCCCCCCCCCCCCCGCTAGAGATGCTCCGCAGAGGGCTGTTTCCCTCCCCCGCCTTCGGTCCCTCCTTCGGTGTTTTCTCTTTCTAACGCCAGGATGATCACCCCCCTCCCCCGGGGTTGCCAACCGGTGCTGCGCGGTTCCGGGGTGCCGCTGACCCACTGCGGGCTTCTCCCCGCGCCCGGCGCGCGGAGCCGGGACACCCGTGTCAGGCTTCGGGCACGTTTCGGAGGCGGTCCGGGCCCCGCTTCCACCCGACGAGCTTCCGGGAACCACCGGCCAGACTGCGCCGCAGGGAACCAGACGCGGCGGCCGGGGCCCGGTGGCGGCAGTCCCCGCACCCCGCGGCCAGCCTCGCCCCAACCCCTCCGGCCCCTGCACCCCGCCTCGCCCCAACTCCCCCGCACCCCGCGGCCCGCCTCGCCCCAACCCCTCCGGCCCCCGCACCCCGCCTCCCCCCAGCTCCCCCGGCCCCTGCACCCCGCGGCCCGCCTCGCCCCAACCCCTCCGGCACCCGCACCCCGCCTCCCCCGGCCCCTGCACCCCGCGGCCCCCCTCGCCCCAACTCCTCCGGTCCCTGCACCCCGCGGCCCCCCTCGCTCCAACCCCTCCGGCCCCCGCACCCCGCGGCCCCCCACGCCCCAGCTCCTCCCGTCCCCGCACCCCGCGGCCCCCCTCACCCCAGCTCCTCCGGCCCCCGCACCCCGCGGCCCCCCACGCCCCAGCTCCTCCCGTCCCCGCACCCCGCGGCCCCCCTCGCCCCAGCTCCCCCGGCCCCTGCACCCCGCGGCCCCCCACGCCCCAGCTCCCCCGGCCCCTGCACCCCGCGGCCCCTCTCGCCCCAAGTCCTCCGGTCCCTGCACCCCGCGGCCCCTCTCGCCCCAAGTCCTCCGGCCCCTGCGCCCCGCGGCCCCCCTCGCCCCAACTCCCCTGCACCCCGCGGCCCGCCTCGCCCCAACCCCTCCGGCCCCGCGCCCGGCGCGCCCCCCTCGGCCGCGGTCCCCGCCGGAGCCCGCGGGCCGAGCTCCCGGACCCGCTCCCGCCGGCGGCGCTCCCTCGGCGTCGCCCGGCCTCCGACCGCGCCCCCCCCCCCCCCCGCAAACCAACACAGAAACACAACTTTTTGTGAAAAGAAAACAAACTTCGGCGACGTGACTCACCCCCGGTGCAGCGGCTCCTGCGGAGGGCGAGCGGGGCCCGCGGCCGGCCGGAGGGAGCCACCCGGCACCGCGGCGCACGGCCACACGCCCCGCACCGCGACACCCGCGGGCTCACCGAGCCGGAGGGCGGCCGCCGCGGGAGCACAAAGGAGCCCCAAGGAGCCCCGGCCCGAGCGGTTGCCGGCCGGGGAGGGCGGGCGCGTGCGGGCGCGTGCGGCTGCGGCGGGCGTGAGTGCGTGTGTGTGCAAGGGCGAGTGTGCTGCGCGCGCGCCGGCTGACACCGCGGGCCGGGGCTCAGGGTCCCCGCGCCAGGAAGCCGGGGTCGCGGCGGCGGCGGCGGCGGCAGGAGCACAAGGCAGGGGACGCCGCGCCCGGCGCACCCGGTCCCTCCATATGGAAGACGCTTTTTTGGATGAGTGAACTCGCAAACAATTCCTTCTTTTGCTTCTGCTGCCTAGGAGCCTCCCATTGCCGCGCGAGGCGGAGGAGGAGGGGGAGCCGAAGAGGCGGGGAAGAGGGGGAGGAGCAAGCCGGGGCAGAGAAAAAGTCTTGGAAAGGAAAGGAAGCTGGAAAAAAAAAAAAAAAACACCAAACCAGACCAGTCCCCCAAACTCCGTTTTCTCCTAACGCCTGCCTTTTCCTTCTGCTGCGCTCTAGCCCGCGCTCCTCCCCCACTTCTGGCTCCCCTTCCGAGGGCAGTGCCCCCGGACCCCTCTCCCCCTTCAGCCTCACCCCAGAGCCTTGCTCGCCAACCTATCCTCCTCTCTCCCCGTCACTCGCTCCCCCGAGACTGTTTCTGACACCCCAGTCTCAGTAGTCGTCCTCATTCGGCAAACTATCGGCTAAATCACTAAAAGCAGACTTTGTCATTAAACGTCCCCAAACTGGGGCAGCGGTTGTCAAAGAAATTGGGAGGAAACCGGTCTCGGCGAAGCCCCGACGCCACCTCCCCCGACCCACCGGGTGGGGATGGGAGGGAGGGTTGGCCGCGTCCTGCGCTGACAGCGCCCTGACCTCCATTCATCATCCCGGGAGGGAGAAGCAGGAAAAGCATCCGAGGGGGAAGGGGGGGGGGGCTAGTGGCCTAAGAGAGAAGTTGGTTACCTCCGCGTGTGCGTGTGTTAAACGCCTCTGCTTAGTGTTGGGCGGAAAACAATTTAGCGGTTCTCGAACTTGAGCGGCCTCAGAACCTCCCAGAGGCTTACTAAAACTCGGATTGCCAGGCCCCGCCCCCCAGTTTTCTGATGCAGCAGATTCTAGGGTGGGCCTGAGGGTTTGCATTTCTAGTAAGTTCCCAGGTGACGTGGTGATCCTGACCTAGGGCCACACTGTAAAAACACTTTTCAAGGTATTGAGAAGCTAAACATATACTGACTTACTGGCAAGTTGGGTCCTCTCCTTCTTCAGGGATGAGACGTAGATCACGTAGATCACCTCACTGAAGTCCACACCTTTATATTGCAGCTGAGGAAAACGAGACCCAGAAAGGTTAAAGTATTTGTTCAACGTGAACCTCAAGTTTGTGCCCAAGTGGGAAGGAAGCCACCTCAGAATTGATCAGCAGGCCAAGAGTGGGGGAGGAAGGTGCTGCCTCTTTTCTGTGGCAAGGCAGTTGCCCTGGGAGTCAGGAAGCCACTGTGTGACTTTGAGAAAGTCACATAACCAGAAGGTCTCTAGGCCACAATTGGATTTTTTTAAGTTTCTCATCAGTAAAAAAGGACATACTTTACGCTGAGTATATGATTTTAATCGATTCTGAATCAAAAGATGTTTAAAGGGGCAACACAGGGGACACCTGGTTGGCTCAGCAGTTGAGCATCTGCCTTCAGTTCAGGGCATGATCCCCCGATGCTGGGATTGAGTCCCACATCAGGCTCTTCGCAGGGAGCCTGCTTCTCCCTTTGCCATGTCTCTGCCTCTGTCTCTCATGAATAAATAAAAATCTTTAAAACAATTTTTTAAATAAAGGGGCAACATAAATATCTCATTCAATATGTTGTACTGCTGCTTTTTTCATGTATTTGGTAATTCAGGCAGCCAGATTTTCACTGATTTATCTGATACTTTCAACAATGTGTGCCTGGATTCTTGGGGCCTGTCTTTGGGGCAAAATGAAAAAAGGGATGATCCATCTTCAACAAGAAGGTGAAAAGACACTGAAACTCCCTCTTGGAACTGTGTACCTATACTCTTTCCTCTTCTTTCTTCTCCCATTCCCTCCCTCCCCACTTTCCTTCTCTGGTACTAACATTCTCCCCACCCCACCCCCAGCATTCCCCAAGACCTACTTTTCTCCCCAGCCAATGACCTTGTTAGCTTCTACCTTCTTCTTGTCCTCCTCCTGCGGCACAGGACTACAAGTCCTGGAGTCTACCCTGGATACAGAACTCTTAACTCCCCCAAGGGAATAGGTTAGCAGCCTTCCACTGCAGTGAAATAGTCCTTCTCTGCAAGCCCCAAGTGGGATATCCAACTGTTTTTCAAAGATGACTCCAAGTAGTACCATTCCCACTGGCAATGTGGGGTTCTAATGCAAACACCATGCATGAAGTTCTTAGATCGATTCTTCTGTATTTCTATACATACTATTTGTTGCTCAACATCTCAAAGATGTCCCTTACCCCTTCACATTGTCTTCTTCCTCAGACTTTCTCTTAGGACCCTCCATTCTTATTTTTGAATCTTTGCTCCAGGCTCCGAGTCAACAAGTCAGAGCACAAGCAGAAAACAAAGATCACAGTCCCCTACCAACGCTATTTAGCCAGGATAAAGGCCCATGGCCTTATACTTCCCTCCATCCGAGTCTGTTCACGTGGCTGCTCATCTTTCCCACAGAGTTTAGACAGAATGCAGATCACAGCGTAATTTAGAGGGTTTAATTCTGCAACAGCATCAAGCATAGTGTTGGCACCCCAGAAGTGTTTATTGTTTTTATGGCTCTTTGTATTAACATAATTATGTTTATTATTATTACTTCAGTAAGAACACTGTTATCTCTGAATTCTCCCCCTTTGCTTGGAGCAATCCTTGTCTAGTTCCTCCCTTCTCTCTCTGTTAGTTTCTCTATCCTAACCCTCCCCACCCAGCACTAGCTCCCAGCCATCTCAAAACAGAGTCAAAGCTTGCGGTAAGGTGCTTTCTGCTACTCTCTACTCTGTTCATGGTGATTTCCCTTTGGCATCTTGCTTTCCTGGGGGCTTTCTTGCCTCCATGAAGGAGGGAGCATTTAGCATGAAAGTGATCATGACATTTATTACATTGGGAGGGAGCAGGGACTGTATATAGGTCTACATAAGTCACTATATAGAGTGAACTGGAAGGAATCCCAGTGAGTGAAGTGAAAAGAGGGGTGTCCCTCAGGTGCTGCAGACACACTACCCATTACAGCATAAACAAGAGAACTCCTTCATTGTGAAGCATATCTGGAGAGGACTGTCTGAGAAAAATTACTAAAATGTACACAGAGAAATAGGTACTAGATAATTTTCCCTCTTTTAAAATAAATCTGTCTGCCTGGGTATATACTATGTTTATTGAAAAAAAATTAGAAAATACAGAAAAGCATAAAGAAGGGGAAAATCATTTTAGACCCACTTACCCCTGGATAACACTGTTAACCCATTGAGGTATTTTTCCTGATCATTTTCTTCTTGTTATTGTTGTTGGTTTTTTTTTTTCTCATCAGTACAAATACATACTTTGTCTACACTGAGTATATGATTCTAATTGATCAGAACTGGAAGATATTTAAAAGGGCAACATAATCAGATACCTTTATTCAATATTTTGTACTTTTTTTCTTATGCATTTGGTAATTTAAGCAGGGGCCAGTTTTATCGTTGATTTATCTGTACTTTCATATTTTACAAAATTGTGTTTATTGTATATAGAAGTTGTTATCCTACTTTTTAAATTTAACATTCTGATATAATTAAATCTTCTTCAAAATTTGCCTTTAACAGCTGTGTACTATTCCATCAAAGAGAGACATTGTTATTCAACCATTATCCTATTGTCATATATTTAGATTGTTTCCATTTTTATTATGATAATGCATCAGAGTTAACTAAACATGTTGTCATAAATCTTATTTACAATTCTGATTATTTCCTAAGGGTGAATTCCTATGAGTAGGAGCTTTGGATCAACAGATATAACATTTTTTTAAAAAGATTTTATTTATTTATTCATGATAGTCACAGAGAGAGAGAGAGAGGCAGAGACACAGGCAGAGGGAGAAGCAGGCTCCATGCAGGGAGCCCAACGTGGGATTCGATCCCGGGTCTCCAGGATCGTGCCCCGGGCCAAAGGCAGGCACTAAACCGCTGCGCCACCCAGGGATCCCCAGATATAACATTTTAAAGGCTTTTGGCTGGTATTGCAAAATTGTCCTCTAGTGGCTCCAATGTACATTTTCATCTCTCAGATCTCAACAACAATGAGATCATCAAGCACAAGGCCCCAAGTGGAGACTTGATTGAATTATCCAGTTTGGATGACTGCACTAACCAGATAAAGAAAACAACTGCCAAATATTCACTACACTGGAGACAACGCTCAAGTGGGAAAAGCTGAACAATAATTGCTTGCTATGTGAGCTCAGTTATATTCATGATCTTATGTAACCTTTCCAATAACCCCTTGAGAAATAAGGTAACATTTACTGAGCATCTACTCTCACAGCCTCTGTGCTCGGTTCTACGTGTACACTCAGTCTGGAATCCCCGCAACAACCCTTCCTTGTAGGTTTGATCAACTCCAGTTCCAGTATACATATGAAAAATTAAGTAACTTGCCTAAGATCCCCCAACAACTAAGTGGTGGTACCAATGCCTAAACCTGAGGTTTTTACAGTGTAACATTTCCTATAACTATTTCAGGAGGTATATAGGCTACTTATGGGGTAAGAAAAGCATATTCAGAAGATACTTAAATTTTGTCAAGTCATTAAAGATCTTTTCTGGGCTTCTGAATGGCTGATTTTTTTTTAAAAGCATCCAAGTTAATTCAAGGAACTAAGGTATTTTATACACTGTAATTGACAGAAAAGTCTTAGGACTGTATACCTTAAGAGAATGGAGCGCTGATGTAGGAGTTAAGATTAAAGACTAGATACTAAAATTCATAGTATCAACAGTAGTTAGCAAATTGGCTTTTGTATACATTCCTATTCTCAAAGCTAATGTTTGGATAAAGATTTTTATCTTGATCAGAGGTGCTAGAAATAAAATATTGTATCCAACTTGCTGGCTTCAAATTCTAGCTATTGAATGTATAAAGCTTTTAGTAATGAAGGGAATATGCTCATTTTCAAAATAAATACAAAAAGTCATTAATTTGTTACTAGGAAAATTAGCTCTCATTTGCTTGTTAGTGGGCCATTT